ATATATCTGTATTGAGATACAAATCATGTAGTATAAAATTCACCCATTTAAAGTATACAATTTATTGTATATCACATATGTGTGTGTGTGTGTGTGTGTGTAATTTATTATATTCACCCACCACTCATCTGTCAGTTTGTCATATAAGGTAGTAGCTTGTGTATTGCTGTGATGCTAGAAGCTGTGCCACTGGTACTTCAAATACCAGCAAGGTCACTCACGGTAGACAGGTTTTGGTGGAGCTTCCAACTAAGACGGATTAGGAAGGAAGGGCTAGTGATTCACTTCTGAGAAAATTGGATGGTGAAAACCTTACGAAAAGCAAAGGAACATTGTTTGATATAGTGGTAGAAGAGTTGCCCCTCAGGCTGGAAGGTACTCAAAAAATTACTAGGGAGGAGCTGCCTTCTCAAAGTAGAGTTGACCTTAATGACACAGAAGGAATAAAACTTCCAGGACCTTCATTTGCTGATGGGTCATGACTCAGAATGAGAAGAAACAGCTGCAAACATCCCTTACTAATTGGAATGTGGGATGTACAAAGTATGAAACTAAGAAAATTAGAAGTCATCAAAAATGAAATGGAAAACATAAAGATCAATATTGTTGTTGTTGTTGTTGTTATGTGCCGTCGAGTCGGCCCCGACTCATGTTGATTCCAAGTCATAGTGACCCTGTAGGTCAGAGTAAAACTGCCCCATAGGGTTTGCAAGGCTATAAGTCTTTATGGAAGCAGACTGCCTCATCTTTCTCCCATGGAGCAGCTGGTGGGTTCTAACCACCAACCTTTTGGTTAGCAGCCAAATGCCTTAACCAGTGTGCCATCAGAGCTCCTTATACTACTAGGCCTTACTGAGCTGAAATGGACTGATATGGGCCATTTTGAATCAGACAAACATATGGTGTACTATGCCAGGAATGACAAATGAAAGAGGAATGGCATTACATTCATTGTCAAAAATAACATTTCAGGATCTATCCTGAAGGACAGTGGTGTTAGTGATAGCATAATGTCCATAAGCCTACATGGAAACCAGTTAATAGACTATTATTCAAATTTATACACCAACCGCGAATGCCAAAGATGAAGAAATTGAACATTTTTACTAACTTCTGCAGTCTGAAATTGATCAAAAATGCAAACAAGATGCATTGATAATTACTGGTGATTGGGATATAAAAGTTGGAAACAAAGAATAAGGGTTGGTAGTTCGAAAATATGACCTGGTGATAGAAACTATGCCAGAGATGGCAGAGTAGAATTTTTCAATACTAACAACTTATTTATTGCAAATACCTATTTCGACAGCATAAATGGTAACTATACATGTGGTCTTCACTGGATGGAATATACAGGAATCAAATCAACTACATCTGTGGAAAGAGATAATGGAGAAGCTCAATATCATCAGTTAGAACAAGGCCAGGGGCTGACTCTGGAAGCTGAAGAAAAGGAAAGAAGTCCTTGAGAGCCAAAGTATGGCCTTAAATATATCCCACCTGAATTTAGAGACCATCTCAAGAATAGATGTGACACACTGAACACTAATCTTGTACTAACAATGTCTTTAACATCACATGCCAATAAAATTTTGCTGCAGAAAATTCAAAAATGGTTGCAGTAGTACATGAACAGAGAACTGCTAGAAATTCAAGCTGGATTCAGCAGAGGATATAGAATGAGGAATAGCATTGCTGATGTCAGGTGAATCTTGGCTGAAAGCAGGGAATACAAGAAAGATATTTACCTGTGTTTTATTGACTGTGCAGAGGCATTTGATTGTGTGGTTCGGAACAAATTATGGATAACATTGTGAAAAATGAGGATTCCAGAACACTTAACTGTGCTCATGTGGAACCTGTACATAGACAAAAGGCAGTCATTCAGACACAGTAAGAGGATAGTATGTGGTTTAAAATTAGGGAAGGTGTGAGTCAAAGTTGTGTCTTTTCACTGTACTTATTCAATCTGTATGCTGGGCAAATAATCCAAGAAACTAGACTATATGAAAAAGAACACAGCATCCGAATTGGACATTAACAGCCTACAATATACAGATGATACAACACTGCTTGCTGAAAGCAAAGAAGACTTGAAGCACTTACTGATGAAGATCAAAGACTTCAGTATGGATTACACCTCAACTAAAGAAAACAAAAATCCTCACCCCTAGACCAATAAACATCATGAGAATCGGAGAAAAGACTGAAGTTGTAAAGGATTTCATTTTATGTGGATCTACAATCAACGCACATGGCAGCAGCAATCAAGAAATCAAAACAACATACTGCATTGGGAAAATCTGCTGCAAAAGATCTCGTTAAAGTGTTTAAGAACAAAGGTGTCACTTTGAAGACTAAGGTGCGCCTGACCCAACCCATGATATTTTCAGTTGCCTCGTATGCATGCGAAAGCTGGACAGTGAATCCAAAAAACCCAAACTCACTGGCATCAAGTTGATTCCAACTCATAGCAACCCCCTTTGGGTTTCCGAGGCAGTAAATCTTTATGGAAGTAGATTGTCCAGTCTTCCACAGAGTGGCTGGTGGATTTGAACCACCAACCTTTTGGTTAGCAGTCAAATGCCTTAGGCACTACACCACCAAAGCTCCATGGACAATGAATAAGGAAGACCAAACAAGAATTGCTGAATTTGTATCATGGTGTTGGTGAAGAACAATAAACATACCATGGATTGCCAGAAGAATGAACAAATATGTCTTGAAAGAAGTATGGCCTGGGTGCTCCTTAGTAGCAAGAATGGCAAGACTTCATCTCACACACTTTGGATATATTATCAGGAGGGACCAGTCCCTGGAGAAGGACATCATGCTTGGTAAAGTAGAGGGTCAGTGAAAAAGACAAAGACCCTCAACGAGATGGATTGACACAATGGCTGCAACAGTGGGCTCAAACACAGCAAGGATTGTGAGGAAGGTGCAGGACTAGGTAGTGTTTCGTTCTATTGAACATAAGGTCGCTCTGAGTTGAAATCAACTCGATGGCACCTAACAACAACATTATATTCAGAGTCATGAAGCCATTTCCAGCTGTCTAATTTCAGAATATTTCATCACCCCTAAAAAACCCATATCTTTTGGCTATCAAGGACCCGACCTCCCATCCCACCCCCACCCCCAACCCTAAGCAACCACTAATCCTCTTTCTGTGTCTATAAAGTTGCCTGTTCTGGACATTCTTAGATTATTCTAGAAGACCTCATTCTTTTTCACCAGTTGTCCTTAGCAAATTCACCTGAGCGTGGCTTAATTTTCTTCTCCCCACTGCTCCCACGTGAGAGTGATCGTCCCTCTTAATATCTATTAACCTAATGGATTATATCATATACAGTCTTTCTTTTTTGTGTGTGTCTGGCTTCTTTCACTTCTCATGCTTTACAGGTTCATCTATGTTGTAGTATATATCAGTGCTTTATTCTTTTTTATTGTTAAAAAATAGTCTTACAGAAACAAACAGACCTCATTGCCATCGTGTGGACTCTGACTCATAGCAACCCCCATTGGGTTTCCAAAGCTATAAACCTTTACGAAAGCAGACTGCCACATCTTTCTTCTGCAGAGTAGCTGGTGGGTTTGAACCACCTATTAGATTAATAGCCTACGTTTAATTGGTGAACATTTGGGTTGTTTCTGGTTTTTGGCTATTATGAAAAATGCTGCTGTGAAAAATTCATGTACAAGTTTTTGTGTAGACTTATGTGTGCCTACAGCTGACCTTTTGACTGTGTATCCAACCACATCACTTCTTTGCTTAAAAATCCTCATAGCTTCCCTTTGCTCTTAAAGTCAGGTTCAAAATTCTTACCTTGGTGTACAAGGCTTACAGGTTCTGGGTCCTCCCCAACCTCACCCCCTAACACTCTCTCCTTATTTCATGTTCCAGCCAAGTGGTTCCTCAGATGAACAGGGGTCCCTCTGCAACCCGTGCGTTTTCCTCCCCCACCCCTGCCCCTGGACCTTTGTTTCTCCAACCCCTACTTACCCTTCAGGTCTCAGCTAAAATGCCCCTCCTCAGACTAGATTTGGCTCACTTGTCCCATGATCTTGTAAGATATCTCCTTCTTAGCACTTAACATGGGAGGTCTGGTAGCATGGTGCCTAAGGTACTTGACTGCTAACCAGAAGGCTGGTGGTTCAAACCCACCAGCCACTCCTTGGAAGGAAGATGGGGCAATCTACTTCCATAGTGATACCGCTTCAGAAACCCAAGGAGGGGTTGCTATGAGTCGGATCCGACTTGACGGCACATCACAACAACAGCACTTAACACAAATTACAATCATATCATTGCTTGTGTAATTACCTGTTTAGTGTTGTTTCTCTCTTCTGCTACCGTAAGCACCAGGAGAGCAGAGAGTTCATTCTCTTTCAGCAGGTGTCCTCAGCACCGAGGATGAGGACTGTGCCTGGTTCACAGGAAGCTCTTGGGAAACTTTCACCAAATGAGCATGGCTACCAATGGCGGCAGATTAGCCACTTGTGCAGAGGTCCCTATTTATTGCCTTTTCTCTCAGGTGATGGGGAAACTCAAGTGACCTCTGCGGTCAAGATGACTCCTTTTTCTGCCCCCTTCTCTCACCTAAGAAACCTCTGCTTAAGTAGGAATGGGTTTGGGGCTTTTCCTGCAATAGAGCTTCATTTGCGCTTTTTCAGAACAGGGTAATTGCACATATAGCTATAGCTGTAGCACGTGGCTCAAAGATGTACCCCCCCCCCCGACATACATCCTGCCAACTACATCACCAGTAGTAGCAGTCTGCTTCTGAGAGGAAAATGGAGAGGGATTCTTTGAGTCAATTGCTTCTCTGCATGTTAGGGAGCTGGGTTATGACAAGTTACATTCCCCTTAGTAAAGATTATTGCATTTCTGTGTGTCTCATTTGAAAAACTGTCCTTGATGAAATTCCAGGAAGAAACGGTACACCTTCTGAGACTTAATTGCTTTTTCAAAAAAAAAATTGTTTTCATTTCCCCCACAGATATGCACTTATTTGGCCATTACCCGGCACATGACGACTTCTACCTCGTAGTGTGCAGTGCCTGTAACCAGGTCATCAAGCCACAGGTGTTCCAGTCACACTGCGGTAAGTGGACTACTGCCTCCGGTGGGCACATTTGCAGCCACTGTTCCTGGGAGAGGTGCCTCCTCATTGGCTCCTCGGCAGGGTCTGGCCCTGCGCCTGTCTTAGCACAGGGCTGTGAGCAAACTCCTCCTGGGGCTGCTGCCTCTGCTCACGGGGTAACTATTTTAAGAGCTCTAGTCCTTCTGCTGAATGGCTTAGTCCTGTCAGAACAAATGACAGAAAACCTGTAACTTGTTTAGGTAGATGGAAGTAGACTGAAACCATCCACCCAACGTGGCGGTGGCCTCTGCAAAGAACAGAGGGGAGGGGAGAGCTGAGCTGGAGGAATGGTCCTGCAGACTGACACTCTCCCCCAGGGAGAAAGGGCCAGCATGGAATCTCCCAGATTGACCCAAAGAAGCCCCGGGTGGGGGTCATATGATGCTGCCCCGAGAAAATGCTTCTAGTGGAAACCCTAAGTTCAGCTTCTCCTTTTTCACACATTCCCCTTGTTAAAGGACCCAGGTGTGCTTGGGAACCTGCTTTTCCCTCTACATCTTAGTTCCTTGGTATAATATGTTCCTTTTAGTTGGTTGATAGCAATTCCTGCACTCCCATTGCATACAGAGCCCTGTACTAGGTGCTGTGAACATACAACAGATAAACCACGTGGCCCTTCCCTCAGGAACCAATGAACAGCTGTTTGACCTTAGACAAGAAGTCACTTAACCTCTCTGGGTGGAAGCTCTCTTATCTTTAACGGGGAGCTGGGCTAAGTGATTCCTAAGCTTTTTCGGCTGCAATATGTTGTGAACCCAGAGCAGTATTCTGCAGCCGTGCCCCCTTTTGATAAGCATAGAAACTACATGTCCTTCTTCAGCGCTAGTTAATGTTTCAGAGCATGTTACTATTGTGCCTAAAATAAATTTAAAAACTATAATATTGAGTATGCTTTTGCAAATTACACATTTTCTCATACTCAGAATTACTGGCTTTTCCAACACCCCTTGAGTTAAGAATCATTATTCTTTAATAAATTGGCATAAAATAAAGGCAGTTGAACTTATCTAAGTTCTTTAATAAATGTATTTGGGAATATAGGAAAGTTATTTATGTACACATACGTACTAATATAATCCATGAATATGCGTGTGTGTGTGTGTGATATACCTACTTGTACCATCCATATACATACATGTATATAACCTGTATCTGTATATAGTTCTTGTTGTGTGCGGTCAAGTCAATTCCAACTCATAGCAATCCTACAGGACAGAAAAGAACTGCCCTCAGGGTTTTCCAGACTGTAATCTGTGTGGGAGCAGATAGCCAGGTCTTTTCTCCAGCAGAGTCACTGGTGGGTTTGAACTGCCGACTTTTCAGTTAGCAGCTGAACACTTAATCACTGCATTGCCAGAGCTCCTTTTATCTGTGTGTATACTCTTGATATATTTTGTGTTTATCGTATGTAGAATGAGAATCCAGCTTAAAGGGCCCTTTTGTGCTTTAGCACAAGACTTTTTGACCTGCACAAAGCAGAGAAAAAGCCCTAGAAAGTGTCATAAAGAGAGCTTGGTTCAGAGGCCAAATCTCCTGCCCCTCCCTGCAGCTCTGTGGTCTTGGACTACTTGCTTCATGTCTCAGGGCCTTGGTTTCCTCAGCTCTTCCATGAAGAGGTGATTTCGGGTACTTCTAGTGCTAACATTTTAGTTTCTAGCAAAATGAGCATGCACAGAGCAAGTCATATGATCTGTACAAGCTGACCTTCTTGCTCAGTGCTCTGTAGCAAATGACCTTCTCTTCCACCGCAAAGAGAGAAGAGGTCGAACCTCTCCAAACGGAAACTTTAAGAGGCCCAGTGGTGGTGCTACCTGCCAAGGTGACAGGTGGAAGAATCAAAAGCTGAGCAGTGGTAAGAACATCTCACATAGCTCGTCGTTTAGAGAGTGACCTTGGGAGCTCTGTGGCCAATTGCTTCTGTTTGTCTCATGAAAACACAGAGCATAGGTCATTCTGATCATCATTGTCATTCATTCCTTCACAAGTATGTGCATTAGCGATACAGACAAAAATCTTGACTCTCTGGGGCTTATATTCTGTCATAAGACATCCATCACAACCGTCAATGGGAACTTAATTCATTGGCAGAATCTTGAATGGCGGGAACCCAAAAGGGGGCCAGGACCCTACTGTGTCCTGCAGAATTCTGCTGAAGGGCAAGGCCCCACCAGCTAGCAAAGGAAAGAAGCCTGTGGGGCTTGGCACAGCTATTGCACATGCCTCGCTCTCCCCTAGGCCTCTTGGTGCAACTGCCAAGTCTGAGCTTAGAGGAAGCGCTGAGAGCTTTGTGGCCACCTGCTCTAAACAGTGATAGTAAATTAGTTTGGGGGTTTGAGGTTACTGACCTCATCACTCAAATCCCAGTGTCCATTGAGCTTCGTGCTGAGCTGGCTGACTAGCAGCAGTGGAGGACACAACTGTAACTCAGCAGTTGAAGCACTAAAGCCTCCCCAGTCATTCAGGTGTGTGTCCCAATGATATGAAACCCATATTGTTCAACACCAGGAGAATGCAGGGCAGAGCTCAGAACACAGCGGCTTCTCAGAAGGAGGGAGCATTTCTGAGTTTCCCTAAGAACTCCTCCTGTAGGTTCGTGTTTTCCTTTGTTGTTTACTTCTTGTGACTAACCTTGCTATTTTCAACACGTTCATATTTGTCCTGTAACAGTAACAGTATCAACAATAGCTAATAGTTATTCTGAACATTTACATTAGGTAGATACACTCCTTGGAGAGATCAATCATGGGAGAATAGAAGGGCTGTGTATGCACAGGGAGATGGCTCGGGGCAGGAGTGCATGGGACGGAGGAGACACAGGGAAGAGGTGGCTATGGGGAGGAAGTGTGAGGGGAGCTGTTGCATTGTGGGAAACTGTAGTCAATGTCATGAGACAAAGGATATGTGAGCTGCTGTATGGAAAGTGAACTTGCTCAGTAAACTTTCACCCAAATCACAATAAAAATTGGAAAAAAAAAAAAAAGCCAATAGTTATTAAGTGCTGACTAAGTGCCAGGCAAGGAGCCCTTGTGAACAGTGGTTAAATGCTTACCTGCTAACTGAAAGGGTGATAGTTTGAACCCATCTAGCAGCCCCATGGGACAAAGACTTCCAAAAAGATTACAGCCTAGGAAATCCTTTGGGCAGTTTTACTCTGTCATATGGGGTCACCAGGAGTTGGAATCGACTCGACAGCACCCAACAAATGCCAGGCAGTGTGCTCAGTGCCTTCCGTACCTTTGAGCCAGTCATCTTCTCACCAGCCTGACAAAGTAGGTGCTAATGTCATAGCCACTGAGAAGCTGAGGAAGCTGAGGTTTGGGAAGTTCAGAGCCTTGCCTAGCTGTAGAGCCTGATGGTGAATGCAGATAGCTTCTCTCCAGAGCCTGCATGTAGCCCCTGCCTTTCACTGCCTCTCAGTGTAGGTCACATGGCGCTTCTGCCCTTTCCATGCTCTAAGGCCCGGCCCAGACACTTGCCATGTAGTATATCATGAGACAGGGCTGCAGATTTTATTTTGTTAGCAGGAGGGCTTTTGTTCAGATGACATCTTACATAGACCTGCATTCTATCAATATATATATGGAGGCAAAGCTGCTAGAATTGAAATTGGAGTAGGAGCTCAGACCCCATCTGCCTGGCCTTTTCCTGACTCCCTCTGCCCCCTACCCACCAGGGCTCCTAAAACATTTTTTAAATTTGTTGATGTAGTGGAGAGTACATGGGCAGACAAACCAAGTCACATGGCTTCACTCCTGACTGTGTGACCTTAGACAGGTTACGTTTTCTCTCCACCTCAGTTTCCTTGCCTGTAAAATGGACACTGTGCCTGTCACGTGGAGTTATTGGGAAATGGCAGGTGTGCAGCACCTTCCTGCAAATACAGTGAGTGTGGATTAACTTCCTTCTCCTGATCTCCTCATTGCCCCTGGGTGAAAGTGATCTTCCCTCTTAACATCTGTAGAACCTCTCTTCTCCCATACCACTTCCCACTTTCTGTTTTCCACCTCAGTTTTCAGTGCAAAGGATTGCCTTTGCACATCTCCTGGGATGTACCTTTTCAACTCTGTATTCTCTGCCCTCCAGGAAATGCCTTCATCACTGGGCTTGGTCCTGGGAAGCAGCAACTGTGTTCAATAGATGGGACACTGCTAAGGATGAGCATGCCAGGAGTCACATCCCATCTCAGCCTCTGCCCAGTCTATGGGCTTCTCGCCTTGTTAAATGACAGGGGGTTGGACTACATGTTCTGTTGGAAACTTTCTCATTCTTGGCACCTGTGATTCAGTTCCTAGATTTTAAGGGTGATATGGTGGTGGCATGGACAGAGAGAATGAGCCAGAGATGGGCACATGGGGAGCATTCAGAATCTGGTGTATTTAAATATATATATATAAATATATGTGTATGTTTATTTATATATGTGTGTGTATACATGCATGTGTGTGCATGTGTATGCATAGTCGATTCTCTTTTTTTGAACTAGTTTTGTCCTATAGCATCCCCACAAATGCCAAACCAGCCTTTTCAGCCTCAGCTGGAGAGGTGCGTGCTGCTCTGCACATAAGAATGTCTGCAAATGACTGGAAAAGTACCTCAAGTATTGATTTTGGGGTTACAGATAAATTTTAGCAAGTAGGCAAAATCACAAATACTGTATCAATGCAAAAAAGGCTCAATTCTCTGTGTGTGTGTGTGTGTGTGTCAAAAAAAAAAAAAAACTCACTGCCGTCGAGTCGGATCCGACACAGAGACCCTTGCTTGGGATTCTGAGGTGGTATCACTACAGAAGTAGATTGCCCAATCATATACATTCACACACACACACATTTAGGTATTTAGTTCTGGGGACTTGAAAAGCTGGTGGTAGTGTGAAAAATAAAATCCTGTAATGGAAAACTCATGAATTTTGGAGTTAAATGATCTTGAACTAGAATCCTGACTCTTAACATTTACTAGCTGTG